TCGATCCTGGGATCGATCCGCCCACCTCTAGTCCAGAGCCCAGAGAGTGCATGCAGAGTATTTAGCCCCTAGATTCATCAAATTACCTGGAACCTAAAATGTGTAATACGTCTTTAATTCTGACTATTTAACATGAATAACATAATAACATAATAACAACGACTATGAATCTAACATGTTTTTAAAATGAAACAAATCTAACAAAGAAAAATACTTTGGAACTCCTCCTTTTAAAAAAAGGTAAACATGGTTTTGAATTATGAACAGTCATTTAGATCTGTAATGATAAAGCATGTTACAGCTGTAAACGTGACTCTTGATTAAAAAAAGACCTTTTTAGGATCTGTAGCTGTGTATTAGCAACTTCAAGAATGGAGAGAATACCTCACGTAAAACGCTCAACTATACTGCAAAAGTAAACAAGCAAAGAGTGCAGATTTTCTAACAACCAAAGAAAAGTGGATGGAAACGGATTATAGATTAACAGGAACCTTGGAGTTAAGAAGAGGACCCCGACCGAACCTAAAAGAGAAGATAACACGTTTTATTCTTTATGCCTTGGCAATGAACAACAGCTTGAGCAGTGGTAAACAGCCATGCCACATAGGTGACTGCTGCTGTTGTGTCTGAACATAAAGTTTATCCATTAAGACATTTTCTAAAAAAATTTTAAAGAAGCAGGCTAAATACAATATAGGATGTTATGGTAATCCATTTTTATTGGAGGAAAACTGTTGCAGTTTTAGACCAAATTTACCAACGGGGGAAGGGGTTGGCACTGTTTTTTTATGGCACAGAATAAAGTAATGAAAATAAGTTGCAAAGCAATATTTCTTTGTTTGATATATTAAAAGGGCCAAAGACGTACTTGCAGTTCTGGAACTGCAGGTTGTAAATCCATGATCAAATTGGAGACAAAAAAATGTTTCGGGCAATATATCGTGATTTTTGGCTGCCTGATATAATATCAATCTTTTAGTTCCTAGTATCGATTTTTAAGCATAACATTTTTACCTAAAACTGAGGGAAAAGTGGGCTACCTCTGCACCACCAGTCTGGCAGATAGTGCTGTGGAGCCCTTTTGCTGTGCTGCGCAGCGCAATATCTGTAGTTGAGGCAGTCACAGTGAAAGAAGTGAACTGACTCAAACCCCAAGCAACATGGATACCAAAATAACTGAAGGATCAACGTCATCTGATGAACATATACAGAGGTTGCTTTTTTATCTTTTCCTTTTAATTATAATAGCAGGAAAAAATATCGCAATACAGTGATACTATCGTATCTTGACCCAAGTATCGTCACATATCGCAACACCCATGTCAATACTCACCCCTAAGTCTAACCCATCCCCAATATGTGTTGCAGATTATTTATGGGGGAAAAGACCTATTTTGCTTTCTCTTTCTCAATTCATATGATGAAATGAAACAATTATAAGTTTTACACAAGTTGCAATTACAACAAAAACAATCATTTATCAACAAATCAAAGAAAACAATAATGGATGGTAGGTGGAGGGAGCTGCAGTGCATATACCTTGCTTGATCTCATGGCATGACTGCTGAATTCACTAATAAATGAGCAAATACTTTGGCACTTACTGATACAGGAAAAACAGGGGCCAGAACAGTCTCTGGTTGTACAAGAGCCTTAGCCCCTGGAGGCCTCTGTCTAGAACCGCCCATGGTAGGACCTTACCAAAGAATGGCTGTGCATGTTAGAATCCATGAATAGTGCCAGTATTATAGTGTTTCAAATCAGTTTTTATCACATTATAATTGTCCACTTTAGTGTTTATAAGAAGGGGTGGAGGAGACTGACTCAGGAGGAAGCTTGGATCCTTCAGTGATGTCAGCAAGATGTTGCATACCTTCAACAAGTCTGATGTAGAGAGTCTGCTCTCTTTTGCCATCATCTATAAGGATAGCAGCATCATATTAGTTGACTTAAAGCTCATCAAGCTCATAAAGAAGAACATGTTCTGGGGACTCAAGATTCAGAGTGTAGAAGAAACACATTTAACTTGCAGAAACTATAGTTTTAAGATTAACAAAGTATTGAATTTGGTATTAGAATTTAATTGAATTACAGTGTTTTTTGTTAGACCATTAAACCCCCTTCAAAGGATACCCACATTTTAAGCCATCCAAACTATTCTTCTCAATTTTAGCTTGACACTTGGCCATTATTTCTTATTACACTTGGTCAAGTCTCCTAACTTGAATAAAGGCGCTATATAAGTACATGCCATTTACCATTTATTTATATGTACTTTGACAAAGGTTATTGTATGAACGGATTCCAAGGTTAGGCGTTCTGAGCATAACATCAACACTCTTCTAAACTTTTGTTCTCAGCAGCTATGTGCTCTTTTCCTTCACTCTCTCTTTTGTAACTGAGAATTAAATTGATTATTTTTAGCTGCAAGCCTGGAAGTAACAGTTGTGAAAATTATATGTGTCCTAGGATGTGAGCTGTAGTTTTCCTGCCCCTTGAATGACCCCGAAGACCAACACAACTAAAATACATGTTAGCACTAAAATCTTGACTTGGCACTTGTGTCTTTCAGAGCACAAATAGATAAATGACACAGAGAATGTGTCAAATAAATTAGTCTCATAAAGAAAACCATCGCACTTGATAGTACACTCATAAACCAATATTAAAATTGAAGAAAGACAAGAGCAGACTGTTTTGTTTAATTGTCCCACACAACACATTTTTCCACAACTGTGACAGACAAAAACAGTCTGAGCACCATCTGAATGCTGCCTGCTGCCTTGTGGGGGATTTCTCCAAGTTAGCATGATGCAAAATGCCTTGAATCTCGATTCTTTCCTACATTAGGTGAAGAAACCGCTGTCATCAGTATTAAATCTCACACCAATGTTGAGTTTAACATATTCATGCATGCCACTTAATAGCATAATGTCTGAGTGTAGATAACACTGCCCTGGGGTCGAGTAACTGAAATTAGGTTACACACAACTTATATGAACTCATGCTGGCACTAGTTAAGATATTTTTTTCTTTAAAATATTTTTAATATGGGATAAACATACTGATGTTACCACATATGACATGGCGGTGAATTTAAATGTAATCCAAAAGTCCACTGTCTGACAAATAACATTTTTAAAGCTTATACTTATTTTTTCATATATATACATATATATGATAGGCTTTTTTCTACAAAAAGATACATCTGTCTTGGACCAGGCGACCAGTGCAATTATTCTCATTAAACCAACTCCTTGACCAATGCTTTGTTTCTGTGTTTTCATCATGCCATTAGAACACACAGCTGTGATAGCAATCCTAATGAGGTGGGTTCTGCAAGACTGATTCCTGTCCACTGTCACCCTTTGCTTCCAGGATGAGAGAATGTTGCATAATCCGTTCTTAAACATATACAGAAGGGACTTCATAGACAGATTCATAGCATCAAATGAATTAACTTTTAACCACATTTACTGATGTAAGGGCTTTGAATTGAATTGCTTGCAACATAATAAAAAGATTATTACTGGAGTTTATTGAATGAATGTTGAACTAGATTTGGTTGTCTTTAATTTTGCCTTTTAATATTTGTTTCATGAGAATTATTACAGATATTTGTGTATCAAAATAAAATTAAAAAAAGTGTGGAAGAACAGCTCAGGTGTTTAGAGGTAAGTGTTTTAAGTTGCTTGATCACATGGAAAAATATTCACCATCCTCATAATTTAAATTATAGGGATTTTTTAAAACCAATACATTTTGTATATAAACTGATTTCTAAGTTGATGCCGGCTTTTCAGAGACAACGTCAGATCTATGAAGTGATGCAAGAAAAAAGGGATTTTGAAAAAAAAAGTCAAGCACTTTATTTACAATTTAGCGTGCGCTTCTTTCTTCCACAGCCTCATTCATCCAGATCTAAAGGAAAGTCAAAACAGAGCAAACTGATGAAGACATGGCTGCTCCCCCCTCCCATATGCTCTTGACGGCTTTACATCTAAAGAGCTGCTCATAAACCTACAGTTGCCTTTCCCCCAAAATGGGATGTTTTGTTCAAGATATAATTTGCTATACTGAACAGGGGAGATTGCTGCACAGGGCTGGAATCTAAACGTCTAAAATCTTCAGAGAAAAGCTTGAAGGACTGCAGAGAACATAAATAATATGTAGCTGGCGTGCAGAACGCGCTGTTACAGAGCAATGCAATGAGTCTCCCCGCTGCCAAGCCCGCTTTTTTTATGTGATCTGCCCACAGCAAATACATCCTGTCAATAGGATATTGGAGCGATCAGACAATTATTATATTTCCCCAGCAACATGCTCATTTCGGGTTGTTAATGATGCTGTCTCGGTGCCGCTGTATGTGGAAAGGGTGGGATTGGCGCACGGGGAGTCGACTGACAAAACCTCTTTTCTCACACAATCACATGCACGGACGATAAAAGGGGAGGAATATTTATAGATCTTTAAAAAAATAAATGATCCGTAACTTTGCTTATTCAGTCCGTGCACGTTCAGAGCCGGGGCCTTCGTGCAGCAGAGAGAACATGCTTCAGGTGTGCGCTACCCGCAGTGATGGTGAGCCAATGCAGCGGCAACACACGCCCCTCCGCTCGGCGCGCGCTGCCAGCCTTGGAGCGCACACACACACACACACACACGAACCGACTCCGAACCGATCATCCACGCACACGCGCGCGCACCCACAAGGAATAACACACAAACAAGTGTGAGCCGCTAAATAAATGAACAGTCTGCCTTAAGCATGCGCTGGATACTTTATGGCGATGGGAACAGCAGACGTGACACATTTTAATTTTAGGGGGGTTGGGGAGGGGGTGCCACTGGGTAATATATATATATATATTTATATTGAGAGAGGAGGACGCCCTTTGAAGCATTAGAAAAACCCCAGATATGAATGAAATCATATAACATCAAAGACATTTTCTCCTCTTTCGGTGGACACAGCTACAGACTTGCGGTGGTCTACTTACGCACTGCCTCCTTTTTGGGGTCCAGGGCACTGGCTGTCTGCTGGATCTGGCCTATTTTGCTCTGAAGGAACCAGACACGCTTGTTGGTGCTCATGATGTCGTTTTCCAGCTCCTGAAATAAAGAGCAGGCGTGCCGCGCCAGGTCGGACAACTGGCGCAAGGTCCGCGAGAGAACCACATTACTGATGGCACACAGGTCCTCGAAAAGCACACCTTCATCGTTGGGGATCTGGTGTCTGCACAGAAGCTGCGGTTCCACAATCCTTTTGGCGAATGGCATTTTGTTCGCCAAAAATAACAGACACTGCGAGCCAAGTGTAAATCCCCACTGCCTAGAAGAAAAGGGTATAAACGGGGTAGAGACAACATCCAAATATATAAAATCCCGGTGAGGTTCAGGCCGACGGCGCGTTATCCCCCGGGCGTCAATCCAAACTTCCTAGATTCTCCTTGAGATCCTCCATCCTGCTGCTCGTTTCTGGGGATCACTCACACTCCCGCTCACACTCACGCACACACACGCACACACATGCAGGACACAGCTCAGCCCAGGTCAGCGGTGGAAGGATGCGTGTTGAGTCTGCGATCATGGGTTGCCTCCGTGCAGCGACAATTCAGCCAAAGCGCAAAGGAGGAGACGCTGGTGCAATTCAAAATAAGACACGTTGCGATAGAGGAGGGCAAAAAGCATGCATGCAGAAAGTGGAAGCGCTATAAAATAAAACAGCTTCAAGAGGAGCATTTCCAACATATGTATTTTATGGAAAACCATGATTAGATTTTCATCGTTTGGAAAGCGTGTTACTTTTGTTTTGTAGGGCATTTTTTTCCTTTCCGACGATATTCTTGTTATTTTTCAGGTTGGTGAATCAGCTTGTGGCCATCCCTGGCCTGAGGAGTGTTCAGACTGTGGAGATGAGAGCTGACTGAGAAAAAACACGGAGATGTGGATATCCTGGGACAGGGGATGGTCACAAAGTTACAGTAATGCTGTAAGCATGCATGATGGGGATGGGTTTAATTACCTTTTATCAGGAAGACTGGATTTGATACATCAGTATAAGTTCAAACGTACTGGCTGTCATTCTGGCATCACTATTGAAATAAAGACCTCTTATTGTGAGATTGATCTAGTGGAAATTTTAGAAACACATTTCACAGCTTAACAAAAGTCAGTCCAAAAAAAGAGAAAGCAAGCAGGGAACATAAAGCTCTCAAACATCTTGTTTATGCAAATATTTAAATGCTATTTCAACATAAGAGAAAGGCTGCAAACACATTTTACTACTTGCTAAATGATCATTGTATAAATTCTAGCATATGATGTTATTGATAGTGTTAATCTTTTTTATGACCATGGTTCTTCTGATTGCTGCTTCTGAAAGGATAATACACTATGCCACAAATCTCAAATCATCTCAAAATATATTTCTAAACAGGACATTAAGTGCGATCCACTGTTTAACAATTACCAGATCTCAATCTAGTGGAACAGTTGAGGCGTTTTCAAAACATGTGAACAGATAGAAGTCAAAACTTCCAGCAGCTAATCAGTGTTGCTGTTGACAGCTTCCCTGGACAGTGTTTCCAGTAACACAGTAGAAACATCTCTCATTTTCTTACATTATTGATAACTGTCTGTACTTTGCCAAAAATAAGGCTGTAGGAACCATTGTGTGGTGAGATCAAGTTGATCGTTTTGTAAAATTTCTGTACCCTATGACTTAAACTTGTTAAAGCAGAATTGAAAATGCCAAAAAAAAAAAAACAAGGACCTTTACACTGCAATTTATAATTTCATATGATTGTTGCAGATGTAACATGTAAAATGTGAATGAAGTGATTTCTTAGACAGATAGAGAAAAATGCCTCTATCAAAGTCTAAACTAAAGGTTTAAACATTCACGCAGTTATAGGTTATTGTAGCAATAAAATGTCTTTATTTCCCTATTAAAGCATGTTTGCTTTTCAGTAGAGATGTTACATGTGGAAATGGATTTGAGATTTTTCATTATTGTCTTACTTTTTCTTCCTCAGGAGACATAGTTTAACAAACCTCCCCGCGACTCCCTCACTATTTCCCCCCCATTACCCCATTCAGACAAAGTCATGCCCATGGCCAAAATCAAAAAGGTTAGAAAATAATCTTAAATGAGTTAATCATGAAAATATGAAAAAAACATAATATTGCCCTTTCAAAATCCACCAGGTCAAATTACATATATGATACATCTTTGAAAGCTAACACCTTCTAGTTTCTGGAAATATATATGGAAATAGTGTGACTAAAACACGGCCTGCAGCAGTTAAAACATGACTCTGTCATGACTCTGCACTTTTTGGTTCTGCTGTTCTCTTGTACCAGTCTCTTTTTTCCTAGCTCCCTTCTAGACACCTCTGTCCACACCTGCTCCCAATCTGCTGATTAGCCTGGTCTTTGTTCAGACTCCCATTTACACACCTCATGTTCAGTCTCCTAGTTTTCAGTAATGTTTGATTTTTTTATTTTCGAATCTACAAACTCATCTCTACCTCATCATCTCTGCATTTGGGTCCTCAAAAAAAACAAAAAAAAAAAAAAACAAAAAATAACCTCCACCCAACCTGACAGACTCAAAGTTATTTTTTTTACTTCTCGTAAATAATAGGTATTTTTTGAATAGCAGTAACAAAGACATACTTTACAGTAGGCATGTGTCATTATATTACATTGATTCTGCATCATGTCAACCACAGCTGCAGAATATTTCAGACCCATACAGTAGGTAAAGTATAAATAAATGTGTGTTCCAAGTTTTTCACACCATAGAAATATGTTTTTATTATTATTATGAATGATTAAAAACACAACTAAGCATATAAAATTAGGTCCTAAAAGTAATGAAAATATTTAACTTTCTTCCCTTTGTGGGGCACTGGGTAGGACCACTTGGGCCACTGAAACCATGCCTGAGCAGCCTTCTGGTCCCATACCTTCCCTGTACAGGAATTAAATACAAGGAGGGACCTAGTTTATGCAACAGCTTTAAAGAAAAAAGCAAAATACTAAATATCAAATTTACATCCTGCCTTTTAATTCAGGGGGAGTCATAGAAGCTTTGCATGTGACTCTTGTAATGAGGAAAAAGAGGAGAGTAGCTCACTGGCCTGGGCTGCAGCTGCTGTGTCTGACAACCTTTTGCCTTCTCCTATTTGATAAGTCCAAGATAAGGGATTAAGACCAAATTTTCTGAACGTCTTGGCAAAATACATCTTACTGCTTAAGATGATCTGGGATTCTGACTGCAAATTCGGCAAAGCGACCTGGCTCAGTACATGATTCCCAAAGCTGTTCTTTCGTAGATCCGTTCTAAAAGAGGCATGTCTGTTTAAGTTAAGTGCCAGATATTCTGCTTTTATTTATTTTTTTTGTTTACAATTAAAATAGGTGAGATGATCAAATAACTTGATATTTTGTTACACAACATTTAGAGGTAATTACTGCATAATCAGCAGGTATTTTTACCCACATCTCATTAGCAAACAGCTCCATATGCTTTAATGGTTCCTTTTTCAGACAACAGGTTTCAGCTCCTGGATAAGGTGAGATTTTAGTCAGGGCTTATGGAAGACAACTTCAGAATAGAATTGTTTTTAGATATGTGCTTTGTTTATCCTGTTATAAGACTAATGACCTATAAATGAGACCAAGCTTTCTGACACTGGGCAGTACATTTCTCTCTAGAATCACTTGATAGTCTTGAAATTGATGGTACCCTGCAGAGATTCAAGACACCCTGTGCCAAATGAAGCAGCCCCAGAACATAACAGAGGCTCCTTCATGTTCCACAGTAGGGACAGTGTTCTTTTCTTGGTATGCTTCAATGACAGCAGATTAGATAGGGTAGACTGTTCGCTGAGATTTTAAGCAGCTTTCATTTTAAAATTTCCCACCAGATGTTGATGGACTTCAATGAGCAACATCTGGAACTGTTTAATTACTTATTACTTTTCCAAAGGGAAATTATTTTCTAGACACACAGTTTGATTCAACAACCATGGAAACTAGAATAAATGTGCATTCTGAAATAAGAAACATCCAATTAACCATAAAACAGGGACTAAAATAGAAAATAAATTAATCCTTAAATTGGTCTCATATATCTGTATTCACAGGAGGACAAGAAATATATTTTTAGAAGATAGAGGTAAGAATGACAACTGACTCCAGTTAATAAACGTTAAACATATCTCTTCTGTTTTGAAAGGTCTAAAGCGGTAGTGTTAGTACCTTATTTCTTATTGTGTATGTGACCTAAAAAAACTAGCTTGATGTCTGTTTCCTAAGTGAAGGCTGACTTGAGTTCAGTCATTGTGCACAGAGAACATCTGTAGATTTAAAGTTGGCTCAGGTGTGGTGTGGTGTGTTTGTGGTGTGGCTCAAGAGACCACACTGTACAATTTGAACTGTTCAATCCCCAGATTTCTTTGTGTGGGTTTTCCTAAGACTTTTAAGTTTTGAAATTCCCCTGACAATTTTAAAATTTTACTCTGTGAACAATACTTAAAAAAATACTTCTCTGCTCTGGGAAACATTTTTACTGCAGGGATGATCAGGGAGCTGAGATATGCATATGTGAGACCGATTAGCTGAGTATTTGCAATGTGGGCGAGTGTTCAGCATGCCATTAAAAAATTCAGTTCAATTCAGTTTAATGATATAGCTCCAATTCACAGCACATATCATCTCAAGGAATTTGATTATTCAACCAGATCATACAGTCAGATTTACTGACTGACAGTTTTCTATCCAAGGAAAACCAGTTGAGTGCATCGACTCATTGATTAGATGGCAATCCTTCACACTAGCATGCTTGTAGAGACAGTCAAGAGGAAAACTCCCTTTTAACTGGAAGAAACCTCCAGTAGAATAAGTTTCAGTGTGAGTGGCCATCTGCTAAGGCTGACTGGGGTTTAAAGAGACAGAAGCAGACATACAGAAAGATGCAAAGATACAAAATGCAACTGTCAATTAGCTCCACATGCGGTCCGTCCAGGAAACACAAAGCCAGACAGACGAGCTCCAAGCCAGCTCCTATATCAAAGGAAGAAGAGAGCACATCCAGCCAGTCACATTCAAAGAAACTGGACTACACTGAAAAACAGGCCGAGCTTGAACTTCTATAAGCAAAAGTGTTGATGGCAGAAGCACAGCTGATACTTCTCTCCAGGATGGCGTCACAGCCAAACAGGAACAGACCAGATGAAGCTACCATGATGAGAAAAAGAGTATATATATAAAAAGAGAAAGAGTATAACGTTAGAGATCAAAGTAACAGATTCTGCAGAATTGGAGAATAGCAATGGAATGAAGCAGCATGATGAAGAAAGGGGTCCCTATGTCCTCCGGCAATCTAAGCATATAGCAGCATAACTACAGAGATAGGTCTGGATAACCTGAGCCACTATAACTATAAGCTTATCAAAAAAGAAAGTTTTAAGCCTACCCTTAAAAGTAGTTCTAAAACATATACAGTAATTTTTTATTATAAACAAAACATAATCAAATCTTGATAGTTCATTATAACTCACTTGTTCCATCACACACTAAAATGGTGCAGATTATTATAAACAGTTTTTTTCAGATATGCATTCCTTTTTAAATAATTCATTAATATCTACATTTTTACATATCATAATTGAAATTGACATCAAATTAACCATAAAGAAATTAATATTAAGAAAAAATAAAAATCAGATACAAAAGATTAAGAGCCATAAATTCAGAATATTTAAAATATATAATTCTCTAACATCTCAAAAATTGTTAAGCAGTGTTGATAGTAATAAAAAACATATCAAGACAAAAATTTGTCCCTTCTATCGCTGTGTTATGGGTATTCCAAAAATAATTAAAGAATTGTTAAATTTCTTACATACCTCTATCTTTTCTGAAACTAAATAGGAGGAAATTTATACTTTAATAAAACATTTCTATGAAGAAATTTTACATTAAATTAGTTCATTTTGTTTTTGAAACTGCTAACTTGCCAAATAAGTTTACATCCATTAAAAGAAGTTTACTCAACAAAGTTGTTTTTTTTTTTTTCTCATGTTGCTGAATGGGGTTTTCCAGAATACTAAGCCTTGCCATTGTCTGATTCATTTGCCTGTAGCCTCTGGGCTTAGCCTGTATATAGACATGTCTGCAGTAAACTTGCAGTTACAGCAGATTTCAGACACTGCAGAGTGACAGGGTCCTGTCATCGGCTTACCTCTGCTGTGCCTAAAAGGCACATGTTTGGCAGCACTTGATTCAGGTGTATCCCAAAAAATAATTAGTACCTGGAGGAGTTCCCAAAACCCCCACATGACTTCAGCAATTCATAAAACAATAGTTTCATCTTTTTTCAGCTCTCGAAATCATTTTTATTTTTGAATCGATTAACATCACTTTTAAAGGTGAAGAAAGAACTAATGGTATATATATATGTTTATTAAACAGTAGTGTTCTGTTTTCCCTCATAATGTGTATGAAAGTAGAGTAATGTAGTTACAGAGCACCATTACAGTTAAAATTGAAAACAGAGCTGAGAAAATACGTAAACATTTCCCTCAGTTTGGTTGTATTGAATGCCTGGAAAATTATATTTGATACTTTAGACAGTTTTTATGTTTAATACATTTTCTATTTTATCTTTCTACATATAACTAACCAGCTATCCTATACACTAAAGAAATAAAGACGAATAGATAAAAGAGTAATTTGCAAATGTTATGGAATATTCCGAGCAAAGTGGCATATAAAAGAACACCAAAATACTATAAATTGATTCAAAATTTAATGATTAGAGAAAAAAGCACATGCAAGTTGTACAGTAGACATAAAGTATATAAGCGGAGATTAAGCATGCTATAATATTGAAAACTTTACATGTAAAGACTACAGGAACATTAAATATCTTAAACAAAAATTCAGGGGTCAAATAAAGATAATCTCACACATATTGTTCTTCCAGCAACAATGTTCTACACTCCCAACCTTTTCAGTAATTAAATATGCTTTTAAACATGTTTATTGCAGGATGGCATTTATATTTTACTCATGTTTAATATGTTGAAAAATATTCCCTTTTTTATATTTTAAAAATTTAAATTGATATTAGCTGCATCAATTAACATCAATTCAAAATTACTTATTTTAATAAAGGTGTTAACATACCGTAATTCCAAACACTGTCCACACGAGGGCACTGTTGGATTCCAAATAATTTGTGAAAAAAATGTCTGTTCTTGTTTTTGTTATTTGAAAAGCTTGCTTTAATCTTCCCATTTATTTATTTTATTTTTACAGTGATTGAAGTTTCACCCAAGTAGCTACATTAAAGTAAAAATAAGATGACTATGACATTGAATGTTTGTTGAATGTTTGTTTTAAAGCAAAGATATCAAACAAGGAGCCGATATAAGCGGGTTCAAGCTATACATGTTAGTATTGAACTTTAACCTCATTGCTGATTTATTATCAGTATTTAGAACCATAATTCATGACTTGTGTTTCCTCCTGGAAACCCACTAGGGTCTGGTAAGGGTGTTTGCAAACCATTTTAAGTTATTTTTTTGTGTGATTTTCTGCTATTTTCTCCCACAGTATAATTTTTATGATACTTTCATTTTTTTAATGGTTTATGACCACTTAAAAAAATAAATCTTAAACCTACTGAAGTTAGACATTTTAAAACTAAGTCACAAGTAACAACATCGTAAATGTGCAAAGTCTTCTAAAAAAGAAATGCATTCTATTTATTAGCTGATAAAGCATCAAGGTATGACTAAGACTCTGAGTGACGCTGAGTGTTCCTTTTGCATATCGCATCTGTAAATGAAAACTCTGATACACCCTCTCTAATGGCTCTGCTGTCCAAAGGCCAAGGCAGCTCAGAAGATTATCAAAACTGTATAAGTGTACAGTGAGCTTCTTCCTCAGAGTCACTTTGATTGTGTATGTATGAAGCAGAAGAAGCCAAGATGTCTCCTGGGACTTTCCTAACACTTCTGGCTGTGTCCTCAGCTGTATTTCTGGTGACTGAGGCAGACGTGGAGTCTGAGGCGAGGGAGTTTCTGAAAAGGTTTGAACAGAATGCCACTGACAAGGTGTACCAGAGCTCATTGGCATCATGGAACTACAACACCAACATCACTCAGGAGAACGCAGACAAAGTGGTAGGTCCTTGATTTCTTCATCGATTCATCTTGTTGTTGTTGATCACATTGTAATAGAAATCTGTTATTACTGTATGAAGTCAGAACAGGGGAGGATTTGGAGCACCTACTACAGCCAGATGTCAGAGGAGTCGCTCAAATATCCCATCGACCAAATTAAAGACCTGCAGATGAAATTACAGCTCATCTCTTTACAAGACAAAGGCTCGGGTGCTCTCACCCCGGATAAAGCTTCACGTGTAAGACTTTTTATTCTAATATTCCCATAATTTCTTTATGGTTTGTTCATACAGTATTCAAATATTTTTTTTTCTAAAAGGTGTTTTAAGCATTATATTATTATTTTCTGTGAAATATTTCTTGTAGCTCAATGAGATCCTGAATGAGATGAGCACAATCTACAGCACTGCAACAGTCTGTCTGCCCGACAACCCAACTAAGTGTGAGACTTTGGAGCCAGGTACAGTCTGTTATTAAAGAAAACAGCTCGTGTGACATAATGGTGCTGACAAAGATAGATAATGAAGTTATAAATTAACAAAACCTCACAGAGTCAGAGGATACCCTTATGATAACTCTACCATCTATGCAATCTTTACTGCGACAGATAATATCTGTAAACAATGATCTGAACATTTACTTAAATGTCCAATCCCTCCTCTCTTTGTGACTTTCTTTCAGCCTAAGACTAAAATAACGGCAAATATTAATCAATATTCAATCAATATGGCACACATTTATGTGACTGTGTATACCTTATAACATTATCCTAGAACATGTTGCATCATGCTTTAGTCTCTTTGTCAATAAAAAGCAGTCATTTCCTCGTGTATCTGTTTACTAAGAATTGTGCCACTAAATAAAAACAGCTGTTTTGAGTTGTTAACTTTTCCTGCTTGTCTCTGTATGCTCTCTAGTGAATTTGGTCCAACGTTGTCTTCTTTTTCTCCCTCATTTTATTGAATCTAAACTCTCTGAACAGATTCATCATTTAGTTACAGAGAAGACATGAAGTGTTTTTATACTCCCTTTTAAAATGTCTGTTTTGTTAGGTAAAAAAAATCAGATAACTATCACATCCTAAATATTTCCACATTAAAGGGACCCATAACATGTACTATATAATGGGACAAATGCCATTTAAGGGAGTAATTTTTGCTTTTCCTACACTGCAGTCAGTTATACTTTGTCATACTTATGCATTTTTTTTTTCATGTTTTTTTCAACTAAATAAAATAATCTGTTTCTATTATGGCTCTATTCACTCACATTGTAACTTTTCTATATGTGTGTTACTATTAACAAAGTTGTTTTATTTTCATCTGAATCTCAGAACTGGAGAAAATTATGGCCAACAGCAAAAGCTACTCAGAGCGTCTCCATGTGTGGGAAGGCTGGAGGAAAGAGGTGGGGAAGAGGATGAGGCCTTTGTATGAAGAGTACGTGGATCTGAAGAATGAAGCATCCCAACTTAATGGTAAATAAAGAGCAGGGAGACAATGTGCCAGTGTCAGGACAGCTTCAGAGTTTGAGCTGACGGACTATAAAACTTCTACCAGGGAATAAAACTGATAAGGAACTGAACGGCGGGTTAGTAAAGATAAAGCCAGATAAGGCAGGAAGAGATGAGAGTGTTGTATTACTTTATGCCCCTTTTGTTAGGTTTATCCTTAACATCACCCCTCCTCTTGTATTTTTGGTTAAATCTCTGTGTAAAAGAAACTTTGCATCCTGTTATTCCACAATTATTGCACAAACAGACAGCGTTTAACTTGGTTCTGTGACCCTTACAAACCTTCAGGCTTTAAAGACTATGGAGCTTACTGGAGATACAATTATGAGACCCTGGAGGACGATCCTGAGTTCAAGTACACCAGGGATCAGCTGATGGAAGACGTTCGTTCAATTTACAAACAGGTTATTATCTATTAACAGTTAATAACAGTGAAAATTGAGTGTGAGAACACTTTTGGGGATGTCATTGTCATACTTTGCTTGCAGATCCTGCCTTTATACAAGGAGCTGCATGCCTATGTGAGGGCCAAGCTTATGGAGGTTTACCCAGAGTACACTGACTCAGAGGGACCCCTGCCCGCCCACCTACTTGGTATGTTAACGTCATAATGGCATAACTGAGGCATACAAGTTTTAATATACATAAACTAAAAATGTTACATGGTGTTTTTTTTCCCATAAAATTCTTACTTTCAAAATAAAGCCAAGAAAAATGTAATTGCTGCATAATCAGGCTGATAGCTGGTGGAAGCAGGGTCAAATGGGGTAACCAAGAAAATTTTATGAACTTGACTTGATGACGGTTTCATCCAATCCTGTATTAGAGAGAAAATACTCTGTAATTCAGGATACAAGTCCACAGATAACAAGACATGAGTTGAGAGCCAACGGGTGTCAGTAGAAGTGACTAATGTTCCTCAAACATCAAACATTTAATTGTTCTGTCAATTACTCATAATAACCCTTATGCTTATTTGATTTTTAATCTTCGGTTTTCTGTATTATCATACTTGTGATAAAAATGTAATGCATAGATGTTTAAATACTAATCATTTTAGGGAAGGATCAGTTAAACAGATTTTTATCCTATTTGAGTCTACCATCAGAACTGGAGTTGTCTCCCTCTGTTGGTCAAAGTATTACACTACAACTCTACTGAACAGCATTAAACAGAATTTATTTTAAAATCTGATTACATCTGATTAAGATAGCTGTATTCTACAGTTGAAATAACATTTCAGGATCAATTTTAAGCTTCAGAAAAAAATAAAAATATATTAACAAGTTTTTATGGTTTCAGGTGACATGTGGGGACGATTCTGGACCAACCTGTATAATATGTCAATCCCCTATCGTGAGAAAGAAGACATTGATGTCAGCAACACTATGGTGGAACAGGTGCATTACACATATATACAAAATGAAGATAACTACAATATAGAGCGTACACTTATGGAAAATAAAAATTGTTTTGTGTTTTAAATTTTACTTAAATTTCAGGGCTGGGATGAAATGCGTTTTTTCAAAGAAGCAGAGAAGTTCTTTATGTCTGTGGGGTTATACAAGATGTTTGACAACTTCTGGACTAACTCCATGGTGGTGAAGCCAAACGATGGAAGGGACGTAGTCTGTCACCCCACTGCCTGGGACATGGGAAACAGAGAGGACTTCCGGTGGGAGAAAGTCAAAAACATGCACATATTTTTACATATTTAGGTGCCGGGCTCACTGTGTTTTAAAGATAGGTATCGATTACACTGTTATACCAGCATTATAAATGGAGAGGTTATTGGAAAAGTGATGAATCGTTCACTAAAGTTCCCTGCCAATAAAGATAATCAAAGTCAGGATTGTAAAATATGAGTTTAAATGATTACCTAGCAACCAAAAGCGATAATGTTTGCTTAAATGTTAAGTGTTATATTTTATGACTCAACGTGTATCCGTTTGGGTAAATATTACTTGAATAAAAGCAGCCATAAAATTGTAGCTCGTTGACTCCATGTTTGTTAGACCGAACAGTTCAGGAGTATTTTATTGCTCATATTGTTTTATTGCTGTTGTTGAACTGCTGTAAATACATTGCCCCGTGTAACTGCTGAGATTAACACTTATCCTGATATGTCTCCAGGATCAAAATGTGCACCAAGGTCAACATGGACGACTTCCTCACTGTGCACCATGAGATGGGTCACAACCAGTACCAGATGGCGTACCGCAACCTGTCCTACCTTTTGAGAGACGGGGCTAACGAGGGATTCCATGAGGCCGTCGGAGAAATTATGTCTCTCTCTGCTGCCACGCCCAAACACCTGAAGAGTCTGGGACTTCTCTCTGAAAGCTTCACTTATGATGCTGGTGTGTTCATTATGCGATCCCAAACACTGAACCGCAACATTAGATATATGGCAGTGATTGTTTAGTAAAATCTAAACCATAAAGCTGAACCACCTTAATCTGAACATATAGTCCAAGAATTTTTCTTCTAAACTCAATTTCACCCAAGCATTGATATATAGGTGTATTTTGCTGATTATTCAAGTTTGTGGAAACCTTAGGGGCTAAGGATGAACAAAGCTTGTTAATGATAAAACCTCAAGATTGAAACCTGGCCCCTACTTGACTGATAACAAATCAGATTGTTTTTTTATTGCCTTTTGAAAAGCTTGCGGGTTAAAAACAGCTTCAGTAACACAGGAAGTTTCAAAATAACCTGACCCTAGACCCTTAGCTAACTTTGTGTATGATAACGTATACTGGAAATGTCATAAAGATAAGAATAAAGAATTAATCTCCTTTGCTTTAGCAGCAAATATTAAAAGTGTATAAATGCAACCATAGCAAAACAGTCTTAGACTTACGGAAAAGTTAGAATATTTGTGTTTAGAGATTAAATGATTTTCCATGGGCTCATATTAATCACCTGTGCCTGTATGCCTTTCCCATGTGTCTCTGTGTTGCATTGTGATAGATAGGCGCTGATCGGGCACATAGAGAAAATGAAATAACTGACTTAATAATCCTTTTTCCTCTTGTTTAATTTTCTTCTGTTCTGTTTTGTAGAAACTGAGATCAACTTCTTATTAAAACAGGCCCTTACCATCGTGGCCACTCTTCCTTTCACCTACATGCTGGAGGAGTGGCGTTGGCAGGTGCTTGCAGGGAATTTCTCCAAAGATGAATGGATGAAGCGCTGGTGGGAGATGAAGTAAGAATTAATGGGGTCTAATTCAGTGATGCTCCTCTTTTCATCGGTTTTTTTAAACCAATAAAAAAAAAAAACATGTTCTGATTATAACCCTAGGGAATATGGGAAAATAAGAGAACTTCAAGTGTTTGGTGTTGTGGAGTGAAGTAGCTTCCTAACTGCAGATCTGTCAGTGTGCTTAGTGCTGATTCAGCTTTGTCTCAACAGGAGGGATCTGGTGGGAGTTGCTGAGCCAGTAGAAAGAGATGAAACGTACTGCGATCCACTCGCTCTGTTTCATGTATCTGGAGACTACTCCTTCATCAGGTAACACATTTGTTTTAAGGTTCAGCATAAAGCAAATGGAAAAAAGTTTTTTTTATCTTTTGTCTAAGATTAGCTTATTTGTAATCTTAAAACTGAACGTGTTATAATCTTAAAGCTTCCTTAAAAACAATTCTTTTTCTATATCACTTACAAAGGAGAAAGTAACAATCATTTTATACGTATAAAAGTGTAACACAAGCTCAGTCTAATAATGTGTTTGTATTGCTCTTTCCTTTCCAGGTATTTTACCAGAACCATCTACCAGTTTCAGTTCCAGAAAGCGCTTTGTAAGGCAGCTAATCATGTGGGTGATCTGTCCTCATGTGACATCACTGGTTCTATGGCAGCAGGAACCAAGCTGAGGTATCTACTTCATGTTTGTGTGTACACTCCATGTCTTTTTCTTCTACATAAAGATAATTAATGTATGTCTTCCATATGTTTAAAGTTACAAGGATGTTAAAAGTATTCATGCTGCTTTTCCACAGAGATATGTTAGAATTAGGGAGATCTCAGTCCTGGACCAGGGCTTTGAAAACCATATCCGGAGATACAAGAATGGATGCTACTGCCTTGTTAGATTACTTCCAAAAACTTTATGACTGGTTGAAGGCAGATAACCTGAAAAACAAGAGGACTGTGGGCTGGAAGAAAGCAGATCCATGTGAGTAAAAATAAGATCACTTATTTAGCCTTTTTAAAGCAGATTAGCGAGTCAGAGTAATATATAGGCATCAGCAGACAAATAAAATGATAATCACCCATTCTTATTCTTAACTATCCCACCTATTAATTCATGTCTTATTTATTCAAGTTATTGGTCAATTTAATGTTTTGGATTAAATTGACCAATAAATCTGTCAATCAAGAGCTTATTGTATGATTTGTGACTAAAACTATTGTTTGAAGATGCATTGATATTAAGAAAATATGAAGAAAGAAGAGAATAAACACTAGATTTGAATTAGTTTTTCCAGGAAAACCTTATTTTTGACCGCATTTGTTACTAGAAAGTAGCTCATAAACAACTTGGATGTGATCAATTCATTAGTTTTTCTTTTTTCTTTTAAAAATAGATTATGATAGTATCATCCTAAACAATCTATCAACCAGGCCAGAGATTATTTATAGGGGACAACACAGAGATTATATATGGGGGAAAACCAAATCAATTCTTATTTGTTTATTAACAGCTTCAGAACAAGCCATTAAAGTGAGAATAAGTTTGAAAGCTGCTTTGGGGGAAGATGCTGTGAGTATTATCATATTCGGCTGCAATGAACATGAAGTCCAGTCTGTATTTTTTTTCTCTTCTTATGAATATTATGTCACAAACATCTCTTTCAGTATCCCTGGAATGAAAACGAGATGTTTCTCTTCAAGGCCAGTGTTGCTTATGCCCTGAGGCAGTACTACAGCCAAAAGAGGCAGACACTTCTTTTCACGTCAGTATCCTGCTTCATCCTGAGGATTTTAATTAAACAATTCATTCTTCTTTATTAACTTGGACCCTGTGCTTCTGATGTTTTCTGATATAATTTTTTCACTTTACCCCCTTAGATCGGAGAACATTTTCACGTTTGATGAAACACCAAGGATCTCCTTCTACATGAGGGCCTCAGAGCCAGGAAACCCCTCTGCCTATATTTCCACATCTGATTTGAAAGCAGCCATCAGGTTGGACTCCCATTTTATTTACCACATAAAACAGTCATTTGGTTTACATGAAGCTGTAAAGGTTATGAGGTACACTTTTAAAACAGATACTGTATACAACCTTTTCTTCTTAATATCTGACATCAAATCAAGCCAAACCTAACCTTAAGTTATTATTCTCTTAGTAATTTATATTTTATAAATGCCTAAACAGTAATTTTCTATTGCATTTCTTTGAAATACTGTTTCATATTTTGTTTGCCTTTTGTAAATTGCATTTTAGTACACACACTTTGGTTTTCCCTTCACAATAATAGCTTACTGTATTTTAACCCATTGTTCCTGAAAAAGAAAACAGATGTAACTGAGTTACATTTGTAACTTAGTGATGGAAACTTTATCTAATCTTTTTTTTAAATCAACCTATTTTTTTTTATCTACTTTATTTGGCAGCATGGTAAGGATAAAGGTCTATTTGGAATTCCAACAGGTCCCTCACATCCTTAAAATAGTGTTTAAATATTTCAAAGTTAGCTCAAGTTTCTGTTCCAGCAACACATCCTCATAGCATGCGATCTCTTACTGTATTTTAAGATGGTACAGTAAGAGGTTGCATGGTTGAGATGGGGTTCAGACTTTCAACAGCATATCTTCAAAAATTAAGGTCTATGACTGTATTTTGCAAACACAATTTAAGCCTTTTTTTGTTCATTATGGAGTTATGGCCCCTTTTAGCCAAGCAGCTCTTCGGGTTATTGATTTGTTTAGGATCGATAAAATATTTTTGAATTGAATTGCATTATTTCAGTAGTAGTGGGTGAAAGAGAACAGGACTTGTTCTACTGTGCTTAATGGCATTCCCCTACCAGCTTTAGCCAACATCTTCACTTTTAGGTTTTTATTTGATTTTACGGCTGGGCATTCTCATGTAATTTGTGTTTGCACACAAAGATTTTGACAGGATGACTTGACACCTTGACATAATATCAAGCAATCAGCTAAAAGTGTGGAGATTTATCATTTTGTTTGTGACATTTTAGCTGATTTCTCAATCATATCCATGATGTCACCCAATAAAGCAGCTTGTTGCGTCAAAATAAACTAACCTGAGTATACTGTAACTAATAAGCTATCAGAAGCTTGCACAGCTGCTACGTGATTTGCTATGTTTTTTTTTTAATTCTTTAGAATTACTTATAGTTTATGTAAACTATAAATAATCTAACTAAAACAAAATATATTTTTATATGAGTGTATCTATAAAATGCTCATTTTGCCATCCATCCAGGTTATCTCGAGGTCGAATCAATGAAGCCTTCCAGTTAGACGACCAAACTCTTGAGTTTGAAGGTATCCTGCCAACGCTGGCCCCGCCTGTTAAACAGCCAGTGGAGGTTTGGCTGGTGGTATTTGGTGTCGTCATGGGCATCGTGGTGCTGCTGGGTGTCTACCTCATCATATCTGGTGTCAGGGAGAGGAAGAAGTGAGTGTTGTCTTCAGAAAACCTCTAACGTGTTAACCCATCACTGACATGGAGCTAAAACATGTTTCTGCTTTTTGTGCTTGTAGGAAACCTTTGAAGACACCTATAGAGAATCCTTACAGCATAGATGTTGATGGAATTAGTAACAATGCCTATGATAATAGAAGTGATAGCAGTGATAGCAGTGATAGCGCTGATAGTAATGAACAAACTGGACTTTAAGGAGCCAAAGACGGGATGACTGCTTTTGACTCGGGGAGCTTAATCTCATGGTCATTTTGGTGTAATCTTTATTTGCATTCTTGTACTTGATAAATGTAAATATCTGTGAACCTTTCAGTATTGTAAATATCCTTGGTTATAAAAACCAGGACATAATAGACAAATAGTGTAATATTTACCAACAGCGTACCTAAATGGTGTAATAAGATTGATACATAGTTTATTTTAGTTTGATAATGCAATTTCTGCCAATGGGACAATTTATAAAATACCAATGCAATGAAGGTGTACATATAATTTTATGGTACTTAAAAGCTGCAGACAAAGTAGGAGAATTTATTTGAAATTTGTATATTATATTAAAGGGTTTTACTAGTTAAACTTCACCCACTGGGAATCCGCTGCGAAAGCTAAAAGTTTTAACTCTAACATGTCTTTTTGCATGTACTTTTTTTTCTTACTTTTTACTTTTCTACAGGAAATTATTTTTTTAATTTTTATTATAGTACCTTCAAAGTTGAGCTACGTTATTGGCTGATAAGCAAATTTTATAACACATATTCTTAGACTGAGATTAGTCTAAAGATTTTATTTTATTTCACAAATTCGATAGTTGTTTTAGAGTTTTTAGGCCTCTGCTCAGAATAATACAAGTGCATTGTAATTGAAACATAAGAACTTTAAGATCACATTGAGAAATGTAATAAAAATTGGAGTTAAATAAAGTTATGTATTAACTTATGATCATAGAATAAAAATGTATTTTTTCCTGGTTTGAGCTGACTTAACTTAAGATCTGAAAAGCATGTGTATTTCATAGAATTCCATTATGTACAAATCATTGTTTATTTTACTTTGAGAAGCTTTATAATGTATGTTTAAAAAGTTAAACAAGCTCTTTTAATATCCATCCATTTTCTGTCACGCTTTTATCTCAGCTGGGGTTGCGAGGGGTGCCTGTTATCTAATATGTAGTTTAAATAAAGTCACACATAATTTCTTTTCAAATAATTTGAAAGGTTAATAATACGCAGCAAAAACAATAGCAAAACATTGTGAAGTATAAAAATAGTAAAACAGTTGTATGACACATTTTTACGCACATCCACCAGACCACAGCTCTATCATGTGACTTTATCATTTGTCTCCAAAATAGATGCGCTGAACAAAAGCGCTTCTGTCATGACTGTTCCTCTTGTTATGTACTAACTATGTGATGACTAAGATTAGTTTTTTTTTTAGGCTGTAAAAAACAACCCTCTTTCACTTCTGAATAACAAAGAGGAATGACGACTCCCCCCTTTCTCCGTCCGTCTCAGCCATTTCTACCAAGTCTGTGTTGGCTATATGGATGAACCATCCTTTGTAGAGAGCAGATTCAAATGTTCGCTGTTTTGTGCGGTCAGCTTTCATGTAGAAGACAAAGGAGAAGGTGCACTCATCGCTCTTGGAGATCTGCCTGAGTTTCTCCTTTTCACATGTCTGAGTACAAAAAACAAAACAAAACATCAATTTAATGAATTTGGAATTAAATTAAGTGTTCGGAGCATAATCCCTTGTTTCTATATAACATTGTTCAAGAATAAAATAAAGATTCCTGGATAAGGACAAACAGACACAGATGCCAGAAATGTGGGGTAAAATAATGACAGAAAATGATCCAAAACATAACATCCCTTAGAAAGCAGCAGACATAATACGACAACCAACCAAATACACTACTGTTTATAAAGCAAAACCAGAACTCTCAAAGATAAAAAGTGTCATTGAGTTGGATGCCTCCTTTAACTAGGAAGATAAATTGGTTGAAGTATTTGGGTTATTTTCTTTCCATCATAACACTCCTGTACATCAAGGATTTCACGAATTGCAACAGCTCAGTTAGGAAATTTGAAACTTTTTGTAGATGCTGTGAAAAAACAGAACATCACAGACTCATTGGACTGTTGGTAAATCTGATTAATTGCTTTACAGCAGGAAGGTCTATAGTTGGGTTATCAAGTGAGGTTGTCTTCAAAAACATTAGTTTCTTCACAGAATTAAAAAAGATGGATGCTCCACAATTGCTATGTAAATTGACTCAATGATAAATTTTATGGCATACAGGTGCATTTGTTCCAGTATAGATATATTAAGGCAAATGTAAAGCAAACTGTATTAAAATCCTCTGACCAAAGCTTAAGGCCTAAAGTACAGACAAGGAGCATTAAATATAAAAAGAATAGGGCTGAAACACTTTGCCAAAAGAATTCACACAATTGCAAAAGAACATATCAAATAAAATGTGGCCTTGAGAGAACGATCCCCTTTCCTTCCGTTTATTTATATCAGCCAAAATGTCACAGTGCCCAGATGTTTTGTATCCCTAAGGATGGTGTAAATATACCCAAACAGTATATTTTGGCACTGAAGATTAACCCATCAGATTCCAGAGTTGATTCTAGTTCCACAAAATAAAACATATGACAAGGATAGTCAGTATAGGGGCATTGTTGCAGATAAACAATCCATCTTGGTAACCTTTTTATCTTCCATTAGGTAGGAAAGTGTTGGGATCCTCAGGCTTGCCCACCAGAGGGCGCTGAGGATCCTCTTCTGCTCTCTTTGTCTTTCCCTTAGGGCTGGAGTCACTGTCAAGGTTCTGGAGATTACCCTCTGCCTCCAGCAGAGTGCGCCGTGGGTCCTCCTGAGGTGAACCTCCCACACACCTGTGGCTGATCTACTAATCAGGAGGACCACAGTATATAAGCTGACTTCAGACCTTGATTCCATGCCAAAAATAATAGGGAAACATCCAACGGGTAATTGTTGTTATTGCGGAGAAATCGAAGGAGTAGAACATGTGTTGATCTATTGTAGCAAATATACAAAAGAGAGGAAAGAACTGGAAAGGGTAATGGGGAGTTCAGTAAAGATGGCAGATTTATTAGGGAAGCATCAATCAGATAAGATAATTAAAGCACTTATTAAATATTTAAAAGATACAGAATTAGCTGGGAGAATTTAGTGTGTGTATGTGCGTGTGTGTAAGTATAGATAGAATTTAGTTTCATGAAGATATAAAGATATACAGACATATTTCTGAATTACATCTCCGTCCAGTTGATGGCGGTAATGCACACAGGATGCAAACTGCCAGAAAACTCAATAGAAGAAGAAGAAGAAGAAGAAGATTCCATGCCGCAGTGTTGATCTTAGTTGGTTAGCTTCCTGAGCCTCTGTTACTGAAGAATCTTTGTTATCTCTAGTGTGAGATCAGATTCTAACTCTTCCTTGTCTCTGCCTCACAGGAATCCTGTCTCTCGTGAAAGCTCTGGATGAGCTTAACCTCCTGTCTCCTCGTAAGCTCAGGAAGAGCAACCTCACTGGAACCCTGTCTCTGGTCTGCAGCTCAGGGAGAGCAGCATCCCAGGAAACCAGTCTCAAGCCTGAAGCTCTTGGAAGGTCTAACCGGCTAATCTGCCCTGGTGAGCCAACCCGAAGATTCCTACGTGGTTTAAGCCTGAAGACTTCCGTGTGGAGTTTCCCTAGAGGTTCCCACGTGGATCTTTCCCTGATGTTCCCTGCTGAGAGCTGGATGCTCAGCCTGAGAATTCCTTCGTGTTTCCCCTGATGTTCTCTGCTGTAAGCTGAAAGCTCAAACCCAGGACTGCCAGGCTAAGCCTGAAGCTAATGCTTAGCCTCACATAACTCAGCTACCAGCCATCTCCCATTCCCTGCACAGACCTAGTGAACCAGCCCCCTGCCTGAACTGTTTTTAGTTTATTATTCATGTGCTTGTGCTCTTTGATAAACTCCTTGGACTTTTACCAGTGTCTCCATGGTGTTCTGCATACTTGGGTCACTTTAGAGAACCCATCTTGACAGAAAGGAGGAAACAGTAATGATTAGGAAATGAATGCATGCTCTACCTTGGCCACACTGTGGCTCCACCCATTTTATACCTCATCCAAAATACTTATATCATGAGCTATTTTCTGCATTAGTGCTGCTATAGGCTTAGACTGCTGGAGAACATAGGGACCCCTTTTGATCATTCCATCTCTATTCTCCCATTCTGCAGACGTTATGATGTCTCAGTTTTTTCTTATCATAGTAGATTCATCTGCTCTGTTCCTGTTTGTCTGTGATACCATCTTGGAGAGAGGTGTCAGATGTGCTGTTGCCATCAACACTTTTGTTAAAAGATGTTGCAACTAAGCCTGCTTTTCAATGTAGGCATGTTTCTTTGACTGTGGCTAGTTGTATGTGCTTTCTTTCCTCCTTTTACATGGAAGCTGGCTCGGAGCTCATCTGCCTGGCTGTGTGTTTCCTGGACAATGCCGCCTGCTGAGCTGGTTGACGGTTAACTTTTGTATCTCTGCTTCTTTCTGTATGTCTGCTTCTGTCTCTTTGAACAGAAATCATTGAACTAATTGACTTGAAGGCAGTGAGTTGAAGCATCGGCTGGTTTTCCTTCAATAGAAAATTTTGAAGCAATCTGACTGTATGATCTTGTTGAATTTTCTCTGTAAAGTGCCTTGAGATGACATGTGTTGTGAATTGGTGCTATAGAAATAAACTGAATTTAACTCATAAATGGGCAGGACATTGCAACCTAAAGCAACAATAGCAGGCAAAGTCAAAGTTAATTTGTGAAGGCATTGGTCCTGACAGCAGTATCAACGTTCTGTCAATCGCTCCCTTAATCTCTTTAGATTCCATCAAAATGTTGTGTTTAAATCTAAGTCTATACCCAAATGATAGAAGTCATTGAAAAGAGATGAACATCAGTGAGATGTGACATTCCACATTTTACCTCTGTTTCTAGGCGCACACTATCTCCTTCCTTGCAGCATCTAAGAAAACAATTGGAGCCTGTTAGGTTTAGGACCACTGCCATTCCTCTGAAGAACCTTGACATTACATTTGACTTGTAGTAGTAGATGGTGATCTTCTCTGTAGGAAAAACAAAGATACATTATTGTTACTAATATTAGCTCCTAGAGCCGGTGTCTAGCCTGCAGGCAGGGTGTGCACTGATCAGTATGACTAACCTGGATTTGGTGATGTGTAGACATTTTTTTCTGAGGAGATACATCTGAGGTAGCGGTGAGTGGGAACATGTTTTATTAAGACATCAGACAGCTTTTCCTGTCTAAAATTTATGTCTCCCCTGGGAACTGAAAATGGACATAAATGTCAGACACCATTGACCTACGATGCTTCATTCAAGTAAGTGTTGCTTTTTTCGTTTTGTCTGTTGAAAGGTAAACCAATGACCATTGCTAATATAAATGTATTAACATGAAACTGTATAAATAGAAGCTACTCCAGGGTAATGAATCTTTCTATATGACACACCTGACATGATAAAAAAAATAGTGAAACAGTTCAAGTTACCAAGTGTCACTGTGCTGGATTCAGCCACCACCACAATCTCATTGAAAGTGCATCCTGTCCCATTACATCCCTCACAGGGCGTCTCAGGATTGCAGCCTCTGCCTCTCACCACAGAGATGCTGGTTTTTGTCATGTGTATCACAAGGAGATCCCGCTCCTCGTTTTTGCTGTTCTCTTCTCGGCATGCATCTACTGAATCTTGTGTATCATTTCCCTCTCCATCTACATCATCCCCTTCTACATCATCTCCTTCTACATTATCTCCTTCTTCGTTATCTTCCTCTTCCTCATTTCCTTCATTTTCTCCTTCAGTATCTTCCTGCTTTGTCATCTCCCAGGAAAAACTCAGAATTGTGGACTCCTTGTCATAGGGTTGCAAGGTGTCCTCATCAGGGGGCAGCTGCTCTTTGCTTTCACATATTTTTCCTGGCTTGTGTACTGTCTGAAGAAACAAATAGGGGTTGATTTATGCAAACAGCAACAGAAATTCGATACTACCACCATTAAAATACATTCTCAATAACACAGCAAATCAAATATATGATCTGCCATAAGAAACGTGCTTGGACAATTTGGTGAACAGAAATGAGACCTGGTTTAAAGAGCTGTGCCAAATAAAAAGTTCTGTTACTCTAAATTGGGTATGCCCAAGTCCAGTTCTTTAAAACTTAAGCCCTACAACACTTAGATGCATTAATCTCCAACAGACCTGAGTCATATAGCTGAACTCCCTCTGCGGTGAACCTATCAGCTCTCCAGAGACATATCAAGTCATTAATTTCATTCTGTTTGTTGGAAAAAGCCGTGTAGTTATAACTTTGTTTATGCCCCCTGGTATGGTTTGCAGCTAGGAGGTGAACCACCAGCCTGTCTCTGACCCCATATTTAGCTCCATACATCTCTTCATCAAAGGCTGTATTTTTTCCTCCTGAAATAATGCATCCCAAAAGAATGATACTACCACCATAATATTCCACTGTGCAGTTATATTTTGGATAATCTAATTTAAATACATTTCACACTTCAGACCTTTATTTGTAAAAACAATAATATTCATTTGTAAAATGAAAAGCATGTGCTATTTTACAATTAGTTTTTAGTTTCTGTTGGTCTATCAAATACAATACTATAAAACTGACTAAAACATATGCTCTTATTTTATTTAGATGGTTAAAGACTATAAAATGTAATATGTTCAAATACTGTAAAATAGATCTGGAGTCAATTAACTCACCAGCATTGGGTTGCCTTCAGCGATTATTTGAGCCAGCTTTTCAGGTTCTAGATCTTGCAGCTGAACTCCATTGATCTCCATCAGCGTGTCTCCTTTTCTATAGAAAGTGTAACAAATGATATTGCCATTACCAAAATATTCAGAAAATACCTAGAAAACATATTTATTAATATCTTTTAAGTAAATTATTCAACTGTAACATTTATGGATTCTAGATTTTCATAGGCTGCCTCTAACCAGTTGCTTAAAACAAAGGAAGAATATTAATCATTCTTCAACCTCTATAAAAAAAATAAAAATGTTTTGCCAGATTTTTCAAATTCCTAAAACATCATGACTAATTAAAATAGCCTATATCTGTCATGATCTTGACGCTGAAGGCTGGCTTAATTGCTCATTTCATTTACCTGTCTAACCCTGCCCGGTTTCTGCTCCTGCCTCTATTTAAGCTGCTTGTTTCCAGCAATCAGTACCAGATTACTCTTAAGCCTTTTGTGTAGAGAATTTTCCAGCATTACTATCATTTTCTGTTTGCCTGACCTTTGAGCTTGCCTCTTCCTATTCTGATCTGGTTGCCTGACCTGTCTCCTGACTCCATTTGCTACTGTGGACTGAAGTTGGATCTGCCACTTGACTTCGCCCTGTGGATAACCCTGTCTTCCTTCCTGTGTCTTGTCAGCCGACTGGCTGGAATTATTCTTGATCTCCGGGCACGGACTGAACTGTGAAAGTAGGATAGTGGCTCATGCCTTAATAATCATCCTCCGTCAGATTACCATGGTTGCTAACCTGTGTTTCTCTCCTGTAGAGGTCCCTGCCTAAGATGTCCTAGTTGCTGCTACCACAGATCTGCAGTCTGTCGTTAATAATAAATGCCTTTTGAGTTATCCCACTGTCTGTCTTGCTTTGAGTACGGGTTCTCTCTGATCTGAATCATTACAATATCATGCAAAATAACTTTTTTTTCCAACACTGTTATATTGATATCCCTTTATATACAAAGTGGTAAGTCGCTTGATTCACGCAAAACTCAGTAATCCTCATGAATTCTGCTCTTGGACCAGCAGCCCCTTCCAGTCCTGGAAAAACTAGTGGCCAAGCGGGTATATGTAGAGCAGGGAATACTGTACCTGCCCTCTTCAGGAAACACAGTTGTTAGATCTGCCCTCTAGCCAAATAAACAATACAAAAGTGGTCTGTAATCAGTGAGTCTTGTTTAGTTTTTTGAGAAAATTTGTTTTTGTGGTCTAAAAGGCCTCTGATTTTTTTAAGGCTCCCTCAAAAGAAGCCTTATTCGCCAGAAGTGTGAGGTATAATGCTGCAGGGACAAAGTCACTGAATGGGTGGCACCAAAAGAGGAGAGGCAGTGTTGCACTGAAGTCAGCAATCATTCTTTAGGTTTTTGAAAATAAACTAATATTTCATAAGAAATATAGAGCCAAAGACAGTATTTTATTGTATATCTATCTTTATTTGACTTTCAATGTATAAGGTCTTAAAGGTCTAAATTTATCCCACATCATAATTTTATAGAGTTGAATAAACTGACAACATACCTGAAATCTTTTTTTAAGCTAATTCACTGATCAGTCTCATCATATTAACTCTTACGTTTTGATTAATATGATGCACAGCTGTAAATTAATCAGCAAAATTTGAATCTCACTCGTTCTCCATGACTATGAGTTCTCTGATAAGGTTATCAATGTCATTTTTTAAATACACAAATGTTTGGGATTTTAAGATAAAACAAACCATTAAAGGGAAATATTCTTAAATCATACCTCACAAACATTTTCTTCCCAGTCTCCTTTTTGTATTTCACCACATTTCCCACCTCATAGTGGTGTTTCCCCTCATACATTTGGTGTACAATCAGCACACCCCCATTAACAAGAGAATCCTAAAAAAACAAACAAAAGAAATACAAATTAGAATTTATCTGAACTTGATCACCAGAATCAACAAATACAACAGAATCTGGCCTATAACGGTGTTTTTGATTAACTCACCTTCATGTCCATGTTGAAGGTTGCGTCTGCCGCTGATAATGTAAATGTGATTGGTCAGGTGGAAGCAGCCTATTGTTAAAGCGCTGGTGTTTAGCTAAGGACAAGAGGAAGAAGAAAAAAAGAAGCCCATGGCACAGTTAGAGATGAGGAACTGATATCTGAAGAGGAAGCAAGTCTGATTTATATTCACTGGAGAGGAGGCCTTCTTTGTAATTGCTTAGAAAAGAGAACTGGTTAAATACATGTAGGAACAGGACTACAATTATAATAACAAAGCATTTTTTTTTTTTAAACCGTCAGTAACAAAAAGTTCCTAAAGAAGTGATGTTATCTCAAACATCTCAAATAAACCGGTTAGATTAAAGTTTTACAGAATCTTAACCACTCAGAATTAATGTAACCATACAACAATTCGAGAGAAATCAAAACAGAAAAGAAGAAATGAAAACATTTCTTGTAATTACTGTACATGGGAGCAATGAGAATATGGTTGTGCTTCCTCTTTCAACCACCTGCTCTGTAATCTAAGCAACTTTTGCTCTGTTGTGTTCTATGAATTTATTGAACCCAGAGAAAAGGGGCAGGCAGTTCTCAGCAAGGTACAGCTGTTCAAATCAGTAAAATAAAAGTAAAATTACCATAATATTATATCTCATTATATAGGATTTTGGTGAAAGAGTATTGATAAAGTTTAACTGCCTTAATAAGCAACATCTCTATGCAGAGAAGTTCTGCCTTATGAAAGTTTAATAATTAACTAGAGACCAACACTGTTTATATATAAGAAATAATTTTGGTCTCAATGAATCTCATACATGGTTTCCCATCAAATTTTAATTTGTCTTTCAGAAGGGTAAATTATTTTTGTCAAAGATCATAAATTAGGCTGAGAGGAATATGTTTAATAAAAACTCAATCAGAATAATTAAATATTCAGACTTATTTCTTTTTTTTTTATAGTATGTGGTCACTAAATCATAATTGAGTTTTAATTACTTATCAGTTAAATTGAGAGACAAGCCATCGGTTTGTATCTCTCTATATGTTAATAAAGACTGCATCTGCATATTTGAATTTGTTTTAAGTTTTGGATTCGTCTAGAAAGGAAAACTGGGAAATCAAAACCCACTTTTCATCCTTTGATTCTGGCCATCTTGAACCCAGCTAAAAAGGGCATGTGTGGTCAAATATTAGACTGTGACGTCAACTTCTCTGGGAAAAGAGTTTAGATGTAAGCAGGTGCAGTTCTCATAATGTGGTCTCTCTGCTCCCCCCTCAGAGTGGCTGGAGGGCGCTCTGAATATCTTACTGTACTAGCCCCACTGGTTATTTAAAACTGACTCATCAATTCGAACTATCTTGATGTAGAAGATTAAAGGGTGTTGTTGAAATAATTAAATATAGAAGAATTGTAAGCAAGACTTGATTTTAAAGAGTAAATGAGACAAATTAATAAAAAGGTTTAAGAGTCTGACATACTGTAGAGGAATTCCAAATATCGTACTTATAATTTGTGGTACTAGTAATAGTGTTAAGCTCTAGAAAACATATTTGCAATGAGATGGAGGAGTGAGTTGAGGTAAAAATAAAATTTTTAGTCTGTAATAGAATTTCTCTAACAAGAAATTTTCACATCTTTACATAACTCAGTTAGTTTGACAGTCTTTTTTTAAACTTATTTTAATGAGTTTTTTTCTGTGTTAACTGATCACTATTCAGCCTATTTCTCCTACCCATTCATTTCCTCATAGTCTATTTTCCTATTTAAAAGTATTATGTATATTTTATCATTGTTTTAAATAGGGTTTTATTTGCCTATTTAGTAAATGTACCTCCATGTGATTGGAAGCTTTATAATCACAGATTCATTTTTGGAGCAACCTATCAGTGCAGTAATGAAAGTAAGGGATTCATGCACCAAACATGAATGGGGCAAGGGAAACCCTACATTTTTGTAATACAGGAAACTTGCATCATTAAGAGCTTTAGATCACTGGATGTGTGACGTTCCTGATTCTTTTTACCTTATTTGTTAATTAAAATGCAGGGGATAAAAAGTGACTCGAGTCAAATTGAAGCTAGTAATAATAGTATGTGAAGGTGATTAATTAAGCAGCGCATGTTTCCAAAATGTTTTGTTGGTTTGACACTGGAGAAGTTGCATGTGTTACTAAATATACACAAGCATACACATACAGAGAAGTTAAATTGGGATTTCCCCGCTGAGCCAGGGAAGTCCAAAAGGGAGGAGATTGAGTTACATGAGGGACACGCGCTTCAGTACTGCAAGTCCACCACCGTCCGCTGCTTTATGCCTGTTTTGAAGAAGCTCTGATTTTTTTTTTTCTCCCAGCAGATGAAAAGTGGCATGTCTATCAGGTACTGGAATGTAACACAGAGAGATTCTGCATGTTATTTCACAGCATAAAGAATTTTCTGTCTTATGCTGAAATGTGATCAATGTGATTAAATATATCCACTGGAGATTGTTATAGGATGAAAAATAACTTACTTTGATTCTTTATCTAGACTTTATATTTTCTATCTGAGATTTCACACAAAAATAAGAATGAAACACCTTTAACTGAATCGGCTTTATCTTGGGTATTTCTGTGACTCAGGTCATAAACAAGATTAAAATTTTTCCTCTTCTTAGGTTTTTAGGAGTATAAGGGGCCATATTACCATGTTCTGTTGTTCCTGTCTTGGTTGCAGACAGTCATGCTAGATGTGTTAATAATAGGCGGTGGCCCTCATGCCTTGACCTTGGCGAGCTTGCTCTACAGCCCTGACCCTGATCAAGACTCTGATGGTGAAGATGACTCTCTCACCTCAACCCCCATTCTCTCAAACTTTGAAACATTCAAGCCCAAACCCTACAAAAAAAGGAGGAAGAGAAGGACAGCAGCAGGTACAACATAATCAATTAGATGAATAGATATTAATTACCTTTAAGAAAATGTAATTCTCTTCTGTAAGCTCCAAAGACATTTGGCCATCAAACAAACATGTAAACCTTGTTATTATAGAAAATGTTACAGAAAATAAACCTTAATTCCCCTGCATATAATTTAAAGGAAAAAGATTGCAGCCACAATAACAACTGCCTTTTATTTTGTTGCTTGTTTTAAATGGCGTTTATTAACTTAATTTGGTGAGAAGCGTTTTAAATATTAGTTTATCTACCACATCTAGTATTGCTTAGGCAAGGGAAGGGTGGGACAGAAAGAAATAGAAACAGCTATATAGAAATTTCAATTAACTTGGCCATATGCGGTTACATACACTTATGGTGTTTAACATGGGAAAAATAAATCTTCCTGAAAATACCCATTAATTAATTGGTATCCTTCCCCAGGAAGATTATGAAACATCCCTTTGCTTAAAGGAGAAGTCTGGTCAGCAAGGAATGATCAATGGTTCATTATCTATACCTAAAACTAATATGTTTGCGGTGATTTAATAAATTTAGCGTTAATCAGTAAAAAAATAAAAACAATAATTTTCCATCACTAAGGCTGGTAACGGCAATTTTTGCCCTTATATAGCAACAACTCACTCCTCACATCTTCCGGCTGTGACGTCACAGTGCGGTAAGCCTAGCTTAACAAGAAAATCAATGGAGACTACTAGACACATCTGCAATCAGCTACAATTATTTAAGATTTTGAGAGGACTTCACCATTGAAATTCTTGAGAACTATGCTTAAACTGACAATGGCAACGTGCATCACAGTTGGATGTTCCAATACATCAGATAAAAATAAAAAAAAGAATTACTTATTTCACCTTTCCAAGGTGATTCCCAACTTGAGGAAGGAGGATTTGCCATCCAACTTCTGGCCAGAGAAAAAAACATATACAGTAATATGTAGCCAATATTTCAAAGAAGAATGTTTTCAGGAGGATTTGGATAGTAATGCCTTGTGACAAACACCAGATACAGCATTGGGACTTCATCAACAGCCAATACCACACAGTGACGTCACAGACCAGTAGGTGGCAGTAGTGTCCTTTGACAAAGACGTCTCTGGTAAACCACATTCAAATGAAAATTACTCTTAATTAAAACACCTATCATTTATTGAACAGTGTGTAATAATTTTATATTTAGAGTACTTTCAGAAGTTTAAATTGTGAATATGACCGGACTTCTCCTTTAACACCTGTTTTTTCATAAATCGGTCTTGGCCCCTCTGATAAGAATGCCTTCTGAACTATTCCCTTGTCAAGATCCATATTACACCTTTAAAAATAAAAAGGAGAGTCTTTGCTTCAGCCAACTTCACAGATATAAAACAATGCATGCTCTTGACAGATATTTTATATTGTAGAAATAAAGTCAAGTCATCTGTAAATGTTTATATTTTAACTGGTTCCTTATAGAACCTGGCTGTAAAATCTTCAACCCTCAAGAAGAACAATTCTGTCATTAAATCTCATGGAGTAACCAAGCTATATGAACCTTAGCCTTCCTCAGAATAACAGAAGTTTATTTGACTTGTCTTAATCAGAAATTTACCAAATAATAGCAAACAGGAAGTCATGAGATAGATAAAACAAAAATCCCTTTAATAGTAAACCTATACTTAAAGTCTAAAATAAATAGAAATAGAATAAAGATAGCTTGTATTGTCTCTCATTGGGAGAAGTTCAGAAGTACCAGGAACTGAATTAGAAAAAAAAAATATAAAAACACAAAGTAAGAATGTTGTTATATAAAGAATATTGTACCACTATTTACATTAAATGAAAAGAAACGGGAAGTAACAAAACAGTTGTGAACAACCTGCAGAGTTTTATAGGAGCAACAACGGTATTACAGAAACCCGGAAATTTCAAAATCAAAAGGTAACAAGATAGTATTAACTAAGACAGACATAAAATTGTAATACTGTTACAAAAGTATTACAAAAAACAATTTTGAAAGTAAACCAGACACAAAAAAAGGAATAACATTTTTAAAAAATGAACCAAAAACAGGTCTGGAATAAGGAAGGAAATGGGGTAAAGAATTAATAAAACTAAAGCAGAATCCAACACATAAGAAACAAAAAAAAAAAAAAGAAAAACCTAAAATGTCCTTTGCACCATGACAAACGTTTTAGTCTAAGGTCCTAAGCTAAACTGTCAGGGTTTAGT